GCCAGTGAGCGGGAGCCGGTCTGTATGTGGGATCCGAACCCTCGGCAGGAGCGCCACTGCGCTTCCCAAGCGGCGCACTATCCAGTGCGCCACTGGGCCGGCCCAACACACTCAACACTTTTAATCTCACCTCGATTATTTTTTCCATATCACTTATCTCCATTCTAACATTTATTTCTGTAATTTATTTATGCGCTCTCTGTCTCCCCCTACTAAAATGTAAGTTCCACCACGCAGGGAGTTGTCTGTGTAATCCCAGCACCTAGAATGACATTCAGCACATACTAGGTAATCTATAAATAGGTTTTGAATGAGTTGAAATAATCTATTTGTGTGATATATAAAGTCACTGGAGCTGTTCATGTTTGTGGCAAATATTTCCCCCAGCTGGTTATTTACTTTTTAACAGTGATTTTTTTTTTTTAATCCAGAGGTTTTAAAATTTAATGTTAATTGGCCTTTGTGATTCCTCAATGCCACTTTGGTCTTAGAATATCCTTCTCTAAACTTACATTAGCTGGATTTTTTTTTTTTTTTTTTTGTCAATATACAATGTAGTTAGTTATTGTGTCCCATCACCGAAACCTCCCTCCCTCCTCCCTCTCCCCCCTCCCACCCAGGTGTGTCTCCTCCATTTTCTTGTTGTAAGAACTTCAAAAAAAAAGTTGTGGTTGTTATATCCCCCCCCCCCCCCTGGTTTTTGTTGTTGTTGTTGTTGTTGATGTTGTTGTTTGTTTGTTTTTGTGTGTGTGTGTGAGAGTGTCTGTGTGTGAGAGTGTGTGTGTGTATGTGTGTGTGTGTGTGTGTATGTGTGTGAATTGAATGAAATACATTAGCTGGATTTATCTACTTTCTACACTTTATTTCTGTTTTGTTTTGTTTTATGATTTCATTCATGATTTCTTCTTATAACAAGACTAAAATGCTCCCATGAACTGCTGGAAACAAACCTTACCTATAGGCGCTATGTTGATAACATAACCATCACCCAAGTACAGCGCCCAGTGCTGATAGCCAGGACGGAACACTTCAATCAAGTCCCCTGGGTAGGGGTTTCCAGGGTAGTCCAAACTGAAGTGATTATTAAATGCCATCTGCAATGACAGACCCAAAGAGGATTTAGTTGATACAATTTGCCCAAAGAGAATCAGCTTATCTTCCATAGAAGCAGAGGGATACAGAATTTATTGAGACTGCATTCCTTATTAAAGACTTAGACACACGTGACCATTCTTCTCTTTGAATGATTCCAACATTGAATTATGTGTGCACAGTAGACAAATGGAGAAAGAATTTGTCTTCTATTGCTTAATTTTCTATCGTGATTCTTCTCATCCTGATCAATTTTAGGGCCCCTTTATTATCACGAGCATTTTATAATTCTCTCTTTAAATCCAGAAATTCATGGATATTATAACTTACCTATACACGAAATTTCAAAAATATTAAATATTAAAATATTCCCTGTTTGAAATAGAAAGAAGTAAAAGGAAAGTAAGTTTATAATATATATGTTTTACTATATAAATGCTCAGTCCGTGACTACACTAAATGATATAATAAAGTGTCTATATGCTTGCACGCACTTAGCATGAAAAAGGCAGGATTTAAAAGCATCAGATAAGGAGTCTCACAACCTTTTATACAGCACTGTAGTAAAATCAAGGAGCAGAGGTGAATACTAATATTCTGTGACTACTAAAACTCTGCAAAAAAAAAATACCTTGCATTGCAAAACTTCCTCTGTCATTTAATTTAATCAGAGATAGGTTCCAGGCTGAGATGCACGTCCAGCCAGATACTCAGGTATAATGTAAGATATGGGACATTTCTTCCTTGTTCAGAACTATGCTGCATATTGTAACACTTCTAGGTACTCTGGCTTCTGCCCACTAAATATCAGTAAATACCCTTTGTCATTGTAACAATCACAAATGTCACTGCAGATTCCCGCCACTCCCCTAACTGCCCTACTCTCTGTCTGATTCCTAACTTACTGAATCCAGAGACAGTGCAAGGTGGTCAACAGTAGAAGCAGGACAACTTGGAAGGCTGGAGGGTTCATCATATCGATGAGTATTTCTGAAAATTCTGTTTGGTGAGTTTTTTTTTTTTTTTTTTAAGTCAATACTTTTCAGAAAGAACATATACATCTCTGACAGTTAATTTTTACAGAAGGTTATATTTTCTTTTTTTTTTTTTCCTTTTTGTCTTTTTTCGTGTCCAGCAATGGACCGCCACCCTCAGTGTCACGCCCGTACCGGACCGGGACTGTGCCCGCCCCTTGCTCAGCCAGTGAGCGGGAACTGGTCTGTATGTGGGATCCGAACCCTCGGCGGGAGCGCCACCGCGCTCCCAAGCGGCGCACTGTAGCAGTGCGCCACTGGGCCGGCCCAGAAGGTTATATTTTTGATGCATGGCATAGAAGTAGAATGACTCAGCAAGACAAAGTTATGTACGTCTATCAGTAATCAAAGGCAGATTTAATGCTATATCCATGTTGAATCTCTAACTGACCAAAGGGTGTTCCTCATAATCTCACTCTAATGCAGATATAGACACTCTTTTACAAAATAAATCCAAGTGCCATAAATGGAAACTTCTAAATCATCTGAATTATAATTATAATAGTAGAGGCTAAGGACTTGGGAATACAGACTATCATTTTTCTGGCACTGTAAAAGTCTTTTTTACAACAATTAATATTGGAAGGGCGTTTTCCCAAGTATTTGTATGCCATCTGTTGAAAACTTCAGTCATCACACTGTCACAGAAACGTGGCCAAATGTAAGCTGCCCATCTGTTGGAAAATAACCATTAAAACAACTTTATGGAAACCATTAAGTCTAACCACCCTCTCAAATATGTTTAAGTCATATTAATATGGCAGTTCACAATTTGGCCACGTGGGTACTAAAAGGAAAAATAGATAATACACTACGATATAAACAAACACAGTTGCCATGAATAGGAATCAGTAAGCACAGACAGCTGCCTACTAGAATTCTGAGACCTAGCCAAGCTTACAATAATAACAACCATTTGAACAGGGAGCAATATGTAGTGTAACTTTTTTTTTTTCTTTTTCAAATGCACTATCTCAATTAACTCTACTTGACTGAAAAAAAAATCTCACAACTATTTTAGCTTATTATGTTATTATCCCATTTACAGAAAAAAAAAAAGCTATGGTAGAAAATGCCAACTTTTGGAAAATACCCACTGAAATCCTTATATCATAAAATATAGAGGGAAAATAACTGGACTAGGTGTTAATGACATGAGCTCTTCTCCCAGTCTTCTTCTTGTCACTTGCTACTTCTGTAACTTTGGGGGGGTCACTCAGACTGAGTCTCAGTTTTCTTATTTTGAAGATAGGCATAAGAATGCAGGGCTGATTTGTTTAGCTCAAAACCTTCTGCAAGTCACCCTTTGTGAATTAGTTACAAGCTGTTGCAAGTACTTTGTGAACTGGCAAAAGCTAGACAGGTGGATGGTAAGAGAGAGGCAGCCACTTGTAAAGGTTGAGATTGGTTCATGGCTTATGTGCAATTTTAGTTCCTGATCCTCTCTTCACAGCCATGACAATTCTGTGAGATGGATGATTTCACTGCAAAATTGTAATATATTTAACGTACTTTCAATTTCTGACATATATTTTGTAAATTGATTTATGAAGTATAAATTAATTGACTTAATAAAGCCTATCATATTTATAAAGATGAATAAGTCTTGCCCCGGTTACTGCTGCTACTGAGGTGCCCTGGGACCTCAGAATTCCTCATAATGCAGCTTGAGTAACACCTATCTAGTCCTAGTCCAATCACTTTTAAGATAAAGGAAATAGAACCAGGGAGGTAATTTGACTGGCCAAGTTCATATGCTATTTAACAAAAGACTTCCAACAATTGGTGCTGGAGCAATTGAACATTTATAAAATTCAAAAAAGAACCTCGACCTAAATCTCATTCCTTAGACAAAAATTATTTCAAAATGGATCATGAACTTAAATATAAAATATACAACTATAAAATATAGGAGAAAAACACAGGAGAAAATCCTCAGGATTTCGGGTAGACAGAATTCTTAGAATTGATAACGAAAGTATGATCTATGAAAGGAAAAATTGGTAAATTGGATGTCCTCAAAATTAAAAATGTTTGCACTCCCACAAAGTGGGAGAAAATATTTGCTAACCACATATCTGAATAAGGCCTAATATCTAGAACATATAAAGAACTCTCAAAACTCAACAGTAAAAATGCAAACAATACAATTAGAATGTGGGCAAAAGACATGAAGAAACATTTCACCAAAGAAGACACACAGATGTCAAGTAAGCCATGTCCACCATCATCAGCCATTAGGAAAATGTAAATTAAAATCCCAATGAGATAGCACACCTATCAGGAATAGCTAAAATAAAAAATAATGACAACAACAAATGCTGACAAGAATGCAGAGTAACTGGATCACATATTCTCACTGCTGGTGGGAATGTAAAATGGTACACCCACTCTAGAAGCAGTTTGGCAATTTCTTAAAAAATTTTATTTATTTATTTATTTATTTATTTAAAAAGATGACCGGTAAGGGGATCTTAACCCTTGACTTGGTGTTGTCAGCACCACACTCACCCAGTGAGCGAACCCGCCATCCCTATATGGGATCTGAACCCATGGCCTTGGTGTTATCAGCACCGCACTCTCCCGAGGGAGCCACGGGCCGGCCCATAAAAAATTTTAACTTATAACTATGATACAATCCCGCAATTGCCCTCCCAAGCACTTATCTCAAAGAATGAAGACAATGGAGACTGTGTCTACCCAAAAACCTGTACAGAAATGTTTACAGCAGCCATCCCTATATGGGATCTGAACCCATGGCCTTGGTGTTATCAGCACCGCACTCTCCCGAGGGAGCCACGGGCCGGCCCATAAAAAATTTTAACTTATAACTATGATACAATCCCGCAATTGCACTCCCAAGCACTTATCTCAAAGAATGAAGACAATGGAGACTATGTCTACCCAAAAACCTGTACAGAAATGTTTACAGCAGCTTTGTTCATAATAGCTCCACACTGGAAACAACCCAGATGACATTCAATAGGTGAGTGGTTAAAAAAAAAAAAAAAACAATGCTGCAGGCATACCATATAATGTTAACTAAGGAATAATAAGAAACAAAATATTGATATGTACAACAATCTGAATGAATCTCCAGAGAATTATGCTCATGGAAAAAAAAATGCCAAAAGGTCACATACTCTATATGATTCCATTTGTATGACATTCTTGAAGTGCCCAAATTATAAAAATAGACAACAGATAATGGTTGCCAGGGGTTAAAAAAGTTGTGAAAGGAAAGTGGTTGTGACTGTAAAAGGGCAACATGAGGGTTTCTAGTGGTCATGGAAGGTTCTGATGGACGCGTTGACAACTGAGAGCTGATTATTTTGATCACCATTTGACAAATGGGGAAGCTGAGACTCAGATGAGTTAAGGGCCAGAACTAAAGCCACACAGGTAGTAAGTAACAAAATGAGAATCCAATTTCAGGTCTCTCTTCTTACTTCAGGCTTCATGTTCCTTCTTTATACCATTGACTAACATCATTAACCAAAGGAATTGCTAGTAAGAGGTTTTTTAACATTCATACGCAGAACCTGTGAGATGGGAAGTGGAGCCTTGCTGGAAACCCTTGCTTCTCTCCTGTGAGGGAAGTATCAAGGGGAGGCTAGAAGCATCTTTGAGGTGCCCTTAGGCAAATGGCTATAACCTGTTTGCATGGGTAATCTGATTTACTTGGGCCACATCTACCAATTTCATTCATGCACAAGTATGTAAGGTAGTGCTTCACAAGTATGACATAACACAAAACCAATTAAAGATACATTTACAAATTCCTCTACTACAATATGTGTGTGTCACGTTTAAGATAAAAATTCTTCGTTTTAACAGTTGCCCTGCACAGAACTGTGTGAATAGTTTATAAAAGTGTTATGAAGGTAAGTCTGTATTCTTTGTGCAAGAAATTTCCCATCTCAACTGCCAAAAAAGGCTGCTCTGTTTATAGCTCCATGTTGGGCCCAGGGGATGCATCAAAAGAAATAAATGCTCCCTGCACAGATAGAGACAGGCTGATTAACTGCTGCTCATGTCCGAGAGTCCAGCTGTGTTCCAGGAATACTAAAAGCACTTTTTCACCAACTACTCCCAAGAATGCTACTGGAAGTCTGAAATACAATCACAGGTGATCACAGGCTACCCTAGTCCAACAGCCTCCCAGTTCCATTTGGGCCCTTTCCTATTCCAGCTGCATTTTTCATCCATTATCCTGCTATACTGAGATGATTCTATGAAGCCCTGTGCCCCCAGACTGGCTAATTTCAGAGACCGCCAGGGCTGCAAGGATCCTTGGTCCAGCACTCCAACTCCACAGCTGAGGGTTCCATTCCCAGGCCGTGTTAACCATCCTCAGCCACACACAGTCATGCTCTCTGCTTAGAATGCTTCCAAGGCTGCCCACTACTGATTCCCCATCTTGCCCCCTCTATAATTTTGGCCTCTGTATTTATCTTTATATTCTAGGCAAACCAAACTATTCATTATTTTTCACACTCACCTAGTGATTTTTTTGCTAACATGGAATCTTTTACCTGAAATGCCCATTTCCAAATGTCCCAAAACATCCCACTCCTAAAGATCCAGGCCAGATGCCACCTCCTCCCCTAGGTCTTCCTGCAGTCAGCCAGAAATGACGTCTCCTTCTGAGTTTCCACAGCATATTGTAACCAAAGACCCATCCCACGTCCTACACCTGCATCAGTTACTGCTGTCTGGGGAATTTTCTCTTCTGCTAAATATGGAGGGCTGGTTCTTGTTTATCTCTATACCTTCGGTTTCCAGCAAAGTGTCTGGCACAAATAACTACCAGACAAATGTTTAATGAATGAAGGAATCAGAAACCCAGGAGGCACGAGTAGCTGAGTTTTTCTAGCACCAGTCATATTAATAGCCCTGAATGCCCAAGTAATATCACCATCCATATTTCCAAAATCTAGTGTAATGATAATTACTTGTATTATTTACTCACACACACTTCAGTGCAGACAGTAGGTTTTAAGAGTCTTGACAAGGAGACTGGGTTTCTAGTCCCAGTTCTGCCATTTAATAGCTGTGTGGCGTGGGGAAGCAGGTCTGTCTTCCCCTGTGGACTCAGGACCCCCATTTGTGAAAAAGAGGAGGTGGAATTAGATCCGACGCTCTCCAACCCTTCCAACTTTTCCGTTTGACAGTTGGTTAAAACATGGCTGCCTGGGCGCCTAGAGGGCCTCCCTCTTCGCCCAGCACCCCTCATTCTTAAGCCCGGGCCGTCTTCCCGCACCTGGTGGCAGCTGCGGGAGTCCTGGGGTCTCCCTGGCCTCGCAGCTGCTGCTTCTCTCGCGAGCGGCCGCAGGGCCCCTCCACAGGCACCAAGGAGACGTCACGGCGCCAGCAAGCGACCAGCACTCGGGTCCGCCCTCCAGCGCCAACGCCAGCCCCAGCGCCGGCGCGCGGAGACCGTCGCTGCGCCCCTTGCAGCTCCGAGACCCCCGCGCGCAGCGGCTCCAACGCGCACGCTCCGCCCTCTGCGAGCCGTTCGCTCCGCCCCGGGGGTAGGGCTCGGCCGCCAGAGCCGCCCGGGGTTCAGCGTAGCCCACCAGTCTCGGCTTGGTCCCCTCCAGGGGGACGCACTGCCGCCTCACCCCCAAGGAGCACCGACACAGCACTGCCCGCTGCAGGCCCGCACAGACACGCCAAGCCAGAGGTCGGAGCGCAGCCCCAGCGCGGCACCGAACCTTCACACCCCTCCCAGCCACTCGGACACTCCTGCAACACTCTGATGCTACCGGCTGCTGTGCGGGGCTCTGCGGTTATAAAGATTATCTTGTTGAGCCTGGAATAACTGTTCGGGAAAACTCATCATAAACACACTCTATACCCGCTTTGGAAGCACGCCCTCTTCTAGCTCTACACACATGCCTTTAGGACCGAGGGGATCCCGGACGCTGCATCCCCAAAAAGCGTCTCGGTCACACACACACACACACACGGTCACACACACACACACACACACACACACACACACACACACACACAGGCTTTGAGGACGCAGTGACCACTGGACACTTCCCTTCCCTCTCACCACCCCTTAGCCCAAGATCAACTTCAGAGCGGGGAGAGGAAAGAAAGGGAGAAAGGAAGGATACGCCAGCCCTAAGACCTGCAGATACTGGGTTTTTACCTGGCTCGGGATGACATGGGGCCTTCATGAAAGACAAGACTCACTCAGGCAGCCCATTCCCGCAAGACTCACTCAGGCAGCCCATTCCCGCGCCTCCTGCCCTGCCCTGTCTGGTTCTAGATAGACAAGCAGGGCAGGCCCCGTATTCAGCCGGCACAGTATCTTGGGCACTGTGACATAGCAGGGCCTAACTAACCTCTTAGGCCAGGTTGGCCGATGAAGCCTCCAAGAACACAACCATGTGAGTTTAAAAATAGACCTGTGGCACAGAGAGTATCCTCTTTCTCACTGCTAAAAAAGAGGCCAGTAAGGAAGGCTTGGCAGACTGTTTCAGTGAACTTTTTGAGACTGCGCAGGACTTTCCTTCAAACTAGTCATAACCTAGATTTTTACTTTGATGTAAACAGAATCTCAGCTAAAAGGATTTTTTTCCACTGATTCAAAGGCTAAAATAGCTCCCTAATTTTATGTGTGTGGAATGAGAATTACCTAAGTATACAGCTGTTTTTATAAAGGAATAAGTTTGTGTTATGAAGGTTAAGGGTGAATCTGCACCATCTGAAATTTCAGATCTGGCTTTGGCACCTTTGGAAACAGAGTACACAGAAAGCTATTGAAGCATTTGGAATCTAGATATAATTATTGGCAGAGTGGAAACTAGAACATTCGAGAAGTTATAGCTTTGTTTTTTTATGAGTTACTATTTTTCTTACATGTTTCCTATTTAATATGTATTTAGAGTTATGAACTGAGTCAGATATGCCTTTCAATACCCTTTTAATGTCTCAAAGAGAAAGCCATAGGCATGTATTTATTTGCTTTATGTTCCTCAACAATTTCAATTGAGTCATCACTGAAGGAAGTGGTTCATGATTTTATACAGGAGAGTTATTGAGAGCATTTATAAAGCCATCCTGCTTATGAGCTAAATTTATTATGTTTGCCAGGTTAATCTGTTTTCTCTAATCAGACACTTAATCATCCAGTCTCCTCCCTGCATTATGGATTCACGAATGTGAACGGAGGAGAGTTGCTCAGTCGGGGCAAGATGATAAATTAGCTTTTCATTTTGGGGGTATTTGTGATTAAATGCTTCATAATAGAATTAAAATAAAATAAATCTCATAGTTTTACTTCTAGAGCCCTGCCAGGTATACATATAGACAAAATGTATTTGGTTAAGGGCAAATTCAGTTTGATGCTTGAATGGAATTTATAGGAGACATAGAAACCTTTGTAATTCAGGAGAACCTGGAGTTCTCCCCTCATTTCTATAGTTTGGATAGTGGATCACTCAGTGGTACTCCGTGGATAATCAGCACAGCATCAAAATGTCCATTCAGAAAAATGAGGAATTAGCCTCAGGAAGTAAGGGGCAAAGTTTGTCTGAATCTAGAGCTGTAATCCTAGGATCTCAAGGGCTGTGCACAGTATATGATTGGAGCAGATCTTAGATTACAACCAAATAACCAGGTCCTGTTACTTTGGCTATTAGATTAAGTGAAGCCCCAGGTGATGGCACTCTCAGCTGCTGCCCAGTGGGGCTGTAAGGGTTGAAACATATTGAAATAACCATAATGCGGATGATTTAGTCATGTTTGTTGTTAAACAAATAAACTCCACATTCCAGCAAAAGCCCTATGAGATAACAAGTCATTATTTGCCTTTTAACATATGGAGACTAAGACCAATTGGCATTATGTGATATTAGAGGCCTAGAAACAATCCTATTTTTTTGTGAATATTTTACAACTAGCAAAGCAGTTTCATATCTTTTGTCTCATTTGGTCCTCACAACTAACCGATGGCTGCACTGCTCCTGGCAGTTGCTGTGAGGCCTGAGACTCGGAGCTCTGCGCTCCGGCTGTCCTGGGTGGAACCGAGGTCAGGCCTTTTAGTCAGGAGGTCTTCCTCTATCCAGAATCCCTCTTCTACTAGAAAGCAAAAGCAAAACCTTCCTTTTAGATTAAAAAAAATCACAAAAATAAAAGACCTACACAAATACTAGATGGAGACATACTGCAAAAACGGTCTTTGTGAAGACCTCGTGGCCTTACCAGAGATATTTGCTGTGATAATACAGAAAATTATTGGCTACGTGAGTATTGTAAGAGTTGAGACAGTCATTCAAACCCTAGGGCCAGCCCGTAGCTCACTTGGGAGAGCGTGGTGCTGACAACACCAAGTTAAGAGTTGAGATTCCCTTACCGGTCATCTTTTTTAAAAAAAAAAAAAAAAAAGTTTCAACTCTGCCCCCAAATCCATGCTGTTAAAGTGAAAACTTTTTTCTTGATATCAATATCCAGGACACATGTCTGCTCAGATTAGATATTTTGTACAAATTATTCAAGTCTCTCATTCAGTCTACTTTCCACATCCTTGGTCAATATGATCAGAACTAGAAATCTGTTTCCTTACAGATTCCTTATGTAGTACACATCCAGGCTAGGTGATGTCTCTGTGACTATGGCTTCCCAATGGTTATGTTCATTTGAAATGACTCAGCTAGGTAAATTAGGCTGAGCCAAGTCTCTGGGGCAGTCAAGGAGATGGATGGAAAAAAGAATGATTTAATGGAGCCCAGGTCAGAGACACCAAAGTCTATCAGCTTATGGCAAAGAAGGAAGCACATGGGTATAGCTTCTATAGAAGAAGTTGCCTGCATTCTCACCAGGAAAAAGACATTGGAAAACTCCAGGACAGTGAGTCAGGAGTCTTGAGTTCTAATCCCAGGCCTACCACTTGCTGGCTGTGTGACACTAGTCATGTTCCTTAAAACTTTTGAGCCTCAGCTTATACATGTATGGAATGGGAAAAATAATAACATACCCTCCCATCTTCATAAATCTATGAAAGATCTTTTAAATATATAAAAAGCTTAACATATACAAGAATAATAACTTCAGACTATAGTTGGTTGGTAGATATAACACAAGGGTATCCTTGAAAATGACACTTAAATTTCACCGTATTTAGGAAGAAAAGTGGCTAAATATATACATAATATTCCTATTTCTGTCTTCCCTATTTCCCTCTTTCCATTTTAAATTCAGAGCAAGTTGTTTTATTAATTGTAACATTTAATAGTATAAATATCTGTCACTTAAAAGTGATACTGACAATATAGTTGTCTTTATTGTCTTTTATTGGTCTAATAAATGAGAGGACATCACTAAAAAGAAGCCACAAATATAAAAGATATCAGGGATTTTTCCTTAAAGGAAAATCATACAATTCATTTGGAAAAAGGTAACTCTGGCTTGTCCTCTATAAAATGCTAAATTTCAGCACAAAATATTAAAGCCCCAGTGTTTACAGGACTCTTGGTGACAAGAAAACCAATAGTAAATATGCTTTAGCACTGAAATTCACGTATCCATGGAAACCTGTGAAGTTCTGTGAGCACACATGCACAGGGCCTGCAGTATTACTGAAGGGCTGAGGCAGTGATCAGTGGGTTACTATGTTGTGAAAAGCTGACAGATTGCTGGGAGCTACTCTACAGAGGCATGGATGAGGTTGTTTTTCCTGTTAAAGGTAATTACAGAGAAATTCAAAAATCTCAGACATTACCAAGAAAAAACATGTTTATTTATTTGCATGTATTTGTATGTCTCAGAACAGTGTCCTCAAATAACCTTTTTTAATCAGAAAAGTCTTGAAGGCATTAGCATTTCCCTCTCTCCACACATTGTAGCTATATTCAAAAATTCTCTAGATTTTCCATGTGCACAGATGCAGGTTTTTATCAAATTAATTATTCCTGACAGTTTAAATGTACTCCTGGTCAGTGTTTCCTAATGTATAATGGCTTTAAAAGCAAAGAGCATAATAATATTGGGGGGAAAAAATAATACAGCTATCTGAAATGTGTGTGTACCCAAGGACCAATATTCTAATAAAATAAAGAAGTAATGCTATTCCTAAAGGCATATTTACAGAGTGCTCTATTTAAAAAAGCATATGTATTATCTCATTTAGTCCTTATATAAATCTTGATAAGTGTTATTATCCCCATTTTCCCTTCCATTGCCAAACTCAGAATTATTCCACAAATATTATTCTGGATTTTAATAATTTGTAAATGGTCTGTGTTTTGGTTGAAACACATTGAAACGGAGGAAAAATTATTAATGAGTTCTTAAAAATACTTCCTCACAGAAGTCTTCTCTTTAGATTTTTTTCATGTTTAGTCTTTTAAAGATGCACTGTCCAGTAAGATAGCAATTAGCTACATGTGGCTACTGAGCACTTGGCATGTGGTTAGTGCCACATGCGAAATAATATTTGAATATATTGGGTTAAATAGAATATACTACCTTAATTTCACTCGTGTTTTTAAAAGTTTTAATGTGCTTACTAGGATATTTAAAAATATACATGTGTCTACATTATATTTCTATTGGACAGCACTGCTGTAATGAAATTGCAGAGAGCTTTCAAAGGGGTCTATTTTTTAATAATTTTGTGTATGCCAGACTCGCTCAGTTTCGCCATTGACACAGCATACCTTTCTTCATAATAAGGACATTATTCATACTGATTGCTTTCACCTAAAAGAAGTGCTTTAAATTATCTTCCTCTTTGCGGGCCAGGTTTCTCTTCTTTTCTGCCGTGCAATTCTCCATGGCAAAATCCCAGTAAGAAAATCAACCCTCTTCTCTTTTATCTTCACTTTCTGAGAGGTAATGAAACAGAGCACCCGCCCCTGGGGAGCACAGTGGGCTCCCCATCGCAGGACTCACAGTTTGGCAGGAAATGCGCACTGGATGCCAGACAAGGCCGGACAAGCGCCTGGGAAGAGAGTGCTGACCCATGTGGAAATTGGCTCAGCCACTTCCAACTGAAATAGGAAAATAGCCGAGACTATTCTGTATTATCATTTTGTATCATTATTATAATCTGAGTTCAACTCAGAGTTGTACTTATAGATACTTATTAATAGGCTGTGTGACTTTTGTCAAATCTTTTTAGCTCTCTAGGCCTCAATTTTCTTTTTATTCTAATATATTTTTAGTGGAGTTTAATAATTAAGTAAATTTTATGGATAGACCGTTGTCCAATAGTTTATCATGATCCGAGACTCTAGTGATTTAGTTGAACTCATAAGACTGATGTCGGAGGAAGAGTCCAGGCGGACCGACAGTCAGCCTCAAACCACCCATCCTCTTACCAGATTCTTGACTCCACCACAGGAAAGAATTCAAGGCCAGAGTCACAGTAGAAAGTGAGAACAAGTTTAATATGATAGATAAGAAATGCAGGTTCCATGGAGTGAGTGCGGCATAGCTCCAGCGACTGAGCAGGGCCCACACCAAGTTTATCACAAAAGTAAGTTCAGTACAGACATCAAGTCTAACACAAAAGCAAGAAAAACATACTTAAAGTTCAGTACAAACTGCAGGCTGGCTCCAGAAAATGAGCAGCCACTTGCTGAAAGTGTTAGATACAAAGAAAAGTACGCACACCTCAGCCAGAGAAGCGAGGGTTCACTCCAGGACAGTGAGCAACAACCCCACCTTCAGCTGCGACTCAACTTTCTCTATCTAATGAATATTCAGTTAACGGAGTGGCTCCCAGTTATGTAACATTTAGTCTTCCACATGCTCAGTTGGTCTTTTCCTGGAGGATGTTCATTTGTCAGACCCTAGAACATGCACCAGGCATATTCAAGAATGTTCTGTGCTGTCTATTCAGCAAGCCCAGCCACTGGATTTGCATAAGCCAGCCTCTTGTGGTTTCATTTTCCTTGTGTTGGTGCTAAAAATAGGTCTAACTGGCAACAGTAACTTTCCTCTAGGGGAGCCCTGAGAGGAGGGACCCTGAGACCTCAGGAGTGGCTAGAAACCCAGAGGCATGTCCTGAAACCTGAGCCCAGGAAAACCAAGCACCTCCTCAATAAAGAATAGGGAAAAAAAAGAGCACATGAAGAAATAATAGTTTTGCTTCCAGTTGTATTAGGAATGCTTTCAGCTGCAAGTAAGGGAGGACAACATTAATAGGGGCTTAAATAATCAGGGTTTATTTTTATCATATATTAAGATGTTTGAAGATAGACCCTTGCTGGAATGATATCCTGCATTGAATTCATCAGCTAGTCCTGGTGGTTTGACCTTCAAAATATATCTAGAATCTAACTTTTCTCTCTACTTCTATCACTTCCATCCTTGTTGTGCTACTATTATTCTTTCAGCATTTCTGTAGCTTGTCTCCCTGTTTTCTTCCTTACTCTCCTTTAACATTTTCTATACCCAGCATCCAGAAATGTTCTGTTTAAATTTAAGTACCATATTGCTCCCTTGCTCAAAAACCTCCAATGATTTCTTATGTCCCTCAGAATAAAATCTAAAATTCTTACTATAGTTTCCAAGACTCTAAAAGATCTGGACCTCTTATCTCATCACCTTCTTTTTCCATGTTGCTCAGTCAGTTCTAGCCTCTCTTGTCTTCCTCCTGCTCCTTGAACATGCTGAGTGTGTTCTCCCTTGGGGCGTTTACATATGCTGTTCCTTTTTCCTGGCATTCCTCCCCCAAACCCCCTAATATCCACATGACTTGCTCCCTCATTTCCTTTATGTTTTTCAGATATCATTTTAACAGTTAGACCTTCCTTTCTAAACCTATATGAAATATCACCCCATTACCTTCCAGCTCCCTTACCCTACTTATTTTTCTTACCATGGTTCTAAACTCTATCTGATATAAATTTATTATTAACTGTCTTGCCCCCTATTGAAATGCAAGCTCCCTGAAAGCAGGGAAATTGTTCATTTTGTGCATATGAATCTCCAGCACTAGTATTGTCCCTGGTATGTAATAAGTGTCCAGTAACTAGCCGTTGAATGAATACTTCAGCAACTGAATGGTATTAAGTCCCTGTGTCAGTGTCTCTGCAATTTCCTTTACCTTCTTGTCCTTGCTGCAGCATGGCTTCTACAGCTACCACCAGCATGTCCTCATGCAACCACCTTCAGAAATAGGAATTAGATACTTCTCTCTCAACATGGAGACAGATACCTGTCCTCGAATCCTTCAGCAGACTTGCCTTTACATGTTATTGACTAGCACTGGGTCAAAGGCTACCCCTATTTGCAAGAGGCTGGAAAAGTGAGTATTTGGTTTTTGTAACCTTTGGAGAGGGAGACAGGCAAGGGATAATAGTATGATAAATAAAATCACTATGCCAATAAAATGCTCTGACTAGTACATTCCATTAATACCACATGGCTGACTAGAGATTTGGTAAACCATAAGATTCAGAAGCACTCAACAGAGTGTTGTTGCTCTGCAATGTTCCTGTTTATTTCCACCCTTCACATCTTGAAAATGTAGCCATTTATATGACTTATCTTTCCAACTTATTTACTGTTTTATCAAGTGAAAACATATTAAAATAATTATGTAGAAAAAATTACTTTTGCAATTCTACGATTAGGGAGGGTACATAAAAGAGTATATCAAGGGGAAAAATGGGAAAAATGGCCAAAGGCAAGCATAGCTCAGATTGGGACAAAAGGAGAAAAGCTGAGAGAAGGTCTGCTGAGAGACCAGTGCAGGTGGGTTGGTGGAGGAAGAGGGCAGGCCAGAGGTGGTACTTTCCTACTTGATTTTACATCCTTAGTCATGCTTTGTGAAAGAACCAACACCAGATTTTTATGTAATATTTCTAAATCAGACACTCAGACTGTTGCATAGCAATTTATTTTTCCTTTTGAATAATTTACAAAAGCTCAGTTCTTGGCAGGTCAATGCTGTGGCCATGACAGTGTCCTCCAAATTGTAAGGGCATCTAGAAAAGAGCAGGATTTGGATGTCCCAAATAAGTTCCCCTCTACACATCTTCTATGAGCTATCAATGGCTTAATATATCAACCACAGAGCAAAGATGTATATTTTAGGCCTGACATGTGGGGCAGTAGGCAAGAAAGCAACTCATACAGGACTTCAGACTAGAGAAAGAGGAAGCAGGCAGCCCCTCCTTACCTTTTATCTGAAGCATTCTGTGTACCATGGATTCAATTCTCTGCCAAAAAAAGAAAATAATGGCTCAGGATCCCCGAGGCCTAGAATGACAGGGTGTGAAAGCTTAAGCTTTAAGATACAGGTACCTGCACTACCAGACTGTCAGGTGGACCCTGCATTATATGATCATGCAGATATTGTGTAAACCTTACTGTTTTCTCCCATAACCATTTAAAGTGGAAGGAGAGCTTTTTACATTTTGTAATGACATTTAGGATGACATGTGAGGCAGCCATTTTTAAATGAATGATATTTGAATACTTAGTCACTCAGATATCTTTTGCAAAAGCATGGCCAAGAAACAAGTGAAATAGAATTAATTAAAATCACTATTGGCTATGAAATCTTTTATCAAATGTGGTGGGGAATAAAGACACAGACCCGTTGCTCCAGGTTCACATATAATGCATCTTATTGAACTACAGCTTCTTCAATCTGTTAGGAAGTGGTTTTCGGTTTTTTTCTGTTAAATTATCAAAAAAGAATATAAGAAGAGATAGGCCAAGAAATGTGAACACATTGTCCTTGAGGTAATTTGAATCTCAACAAAATTCTTGTACTTGTCATGGGTGAACTCTTGATGAGATTGTGCCCAGAGAGTCAGGAAAGATTGATCACCATGTTTTATATTCCGGCTCTGCCACATGTAGGACCGTGACCATGGCAAGTTACTTACCCTCTATTCTACAATCTTCTCATCTTCTATAAAGACCTACCTCTTTAGGTTAGTGTGAGAATTAAACAAATTAATAAATAATAAATAGTGTAAAAATATGGTGGAAATTAATCTTTGATAAAGTAGATTTAAGGACATAGGGAAAACAAATTTTTATTTCTAAGTAAAAAAGAATTGCAAACCCTATTAATAAGAAATTGTAGTAGTATTTTATTTCAAAAGACATTGCCTGTATAAAATGGGTCATAGCTGCCCATTTCTTTTTGGCTTAGACTGTACATAAAACCTGACTGTTCACTGAACTGGCTAGAAAAATTAGCCAGAAACTTATCATTGAACCCAGGAAACAAATTGGTAAAACCAAGTGTTTAGCTCAAGTGACTTTTTTCTCTTCCCAAACTCTATCTGATCCCATAGAGCTGATTGAACAGGTGTTTTCTAGGCTGCCTGGAACAGCCTCCCTCCTTTTTTTTGTTTTTTTAAGAAGATATTTAATCTTTACTCTTCCTGGGGCTGCCTGAAGCTTAGCTTCTTAATGTTAAACTTTGAATAGTGATATTCTCTGCGGCTTACTGCTATAAGAAATGTCAACAATCATTGGGCTACTGATTCTCAATATCTGTCTTATCCAGCTAACACTGTCAGCTTAGAGGCCAGAGCCTGGGATGTTGCGTATAAAGCATAGGGAGTTTGTCTGAGGCAAATTGGCCTGCAATAGACCAGAGGTACAGACATACCTGAAAGTGCTGTGGTTCCGTGGCAGCTGTCACAAAGCACTTTCTACATGTTTGCAGGAAGGACACATTGCTGTGTATGCCCCAGTACTCTTTGGGTTCATGCTTAAGGTCTACTTGATGGTATTAGCATGGTCTCTCATCAGTTCCCAGGTTGACCATTTGAGGTAACTCCTGGGCTGGCTGGAAATAGTACTAACATCTCCAGAGTGCCTGGAAACCACTGAGAAAAAAAAATACATAAAAGAATAGAAGCAAGTTTAAGGGAAATGAAATACAAAAAGAGCTCTGCTACCAATTAAGTGTCCATTTTTTTGCTGAGTTACTTTTTCCTGCTCACCTCATACCATCCATCCCAGTTAAAACTCCACAGGGCCACTAGAAATTTCTAACTCTGGTCTGATCATGTCCCTCCTCTGATTAAACCCTTCTCTACCACCTGCAAGATAAAGTGTAAATCCTCAACCCTTTGCTTTGGCCTAGATATCAGATCCCATTATACTTCCAGACTTCATACCCCATTTCCACTTCCCTCTCTGATCCAACCACCCCCAGTCCCTATGCCATATGTTCTAGCCACATTGAACTACTTAAAGTTCCCCAACCATGACAGATGGCATCTTGTCTCCAAGTCCATTGTGCCCTTATGCCTCCTGTTTCAGTGGTAAAATCTCCTTATATTTTAAGGCCCAGTTCAAACCATTCCAAAAATGAAAGAGCATTTCGCTGTTCTTTTTTCTCATTGTGCTGCTTTCATAATTTTCTAAAATAATGCTTATCATATGTGCTTTTCTTTTTTCTCCAGGACATTGTGAACTCCTCAGTATCAAGACTGGATATTATTTACATTTGTGTTTCTAATACCTAACTCAGGACGGCAGGTATATCATGGTTCAATACATTGTAGAGGAATGAAAAATGAACTAACTTGCCTTTCTTTTATTTTCTGTCTCATTTTACTGTTGTTCTCACCAGGGAGTCATTTTGCTAATCACAATTGCCAGTTCTCACTGCTCTGATACTGCATCCCTTGCAAGACCTCAGACATGAATGAAAGTAAGGTGCATCTCACTGACTCCTCGAGGGTAAATGAAGGACGATCTATGGATGCTTCTAACACAAAATTATAAGCTGATAAAAACAGCTGCCCTGTCGCACCTGCTGTCATCAGTACTGTTCCGGAAACTGCTAGCAAATTCAGCTTTCTGACAACTCAGAAGCTATTCAGCAGCCTCCCTGCTGATCTGCTTTCTGGCGGAGCTGAAAAGTTACCAGCTTGTTCAGAAGGCCTGAATTCTGTTCTTGGCTCTGCAATTTGAAATCTATATGACTTCTTATAGAAGGTGAGTCTCTTTTTCCTCGTGTGCAAAATAAGGAAAACAATCTTTTCCCCTGCTATGCTGACCATACTGGATTCTTATGAAATTCAGAGGATGTAAAGAACTTGAAATCACTTTACAAAATAGAAAATTCACCAGGGGACTAAAGGGTTGTAATATAGTATGATCTATACCTTAGTGCTGGCTGGCTGAGGTTTTTCATAGCTCAAATTAAATACAATGCCTGAAATTCAGGCTTTTCTTCAGAAAGATCAAGTTAAGTACAATGCCTGAGACATATTATATCATCTAGGTGAAAGACCAACCTCTATCACCAATAACCTGGGACTTTTCCTACATAGTCCCCATTTAGTCTACATTGACTTTTTGTTACCATTGGTTGCATTTATCTGTGAGATCACGTGTTCAGACTCAGTCTAGACACATGAGTTTTATTGGGCATTGACTACAGGTCAAATGAAAGCTATGTCTAGAAATATCTGTGCACCAGTCTGAGAGGTGACTAATTAACCTGCTGGGAAGTTCCTGGTTATATCCCTCAAACAATGAAGTGGCTATATGTCATTGGACATACAGTAGGATACATAGTCATATTATGCTTAGAATAGGATGATAAATCTCTTTTGGTTAAAGTCATTACAAGCCTTTTGGGGTAAATGATAAGAAAAGCTGTAGACAATAATAATAATATCTAATTCTGACAAAGTAATCACTATGTACTAGGCACAATCCTCAGGAATTGTCCTATTTCTGTTAACCCACAACAATCGTTTGAGGTGGGTTCTTTTTTTTTAATTAAATTAAATCAAATTTTTATTGATTATACATATTCATGGGGCAAAGAGCTGACTGTCAGCACCTGTGCCCAAAATGTGGTGAGCATATCAATACTATCAGCATGCCCACCATGAGGTGGGTTCTTTTAATAGTTCTATTTTGCAGTTGAAAAAAGTGAAGTCACATAGCTTGAGAGTGCAGAGCAGGAATTCAAACCTAACTTTGACTCCACAGCTTGTATGCTTAAGTCTCAGTCAGATCCTGGCCTACATGAGGTCTGCTAACAGCTAAACTTTTCTTTAGTACTGTTGAGAGAGTTACTCAGGTAAAAAGTGTTAAGTCAACTTCAATTGAGGAGAAAGGAAGCAGAGGTGTAGATGATTGTTTTACAGAGGTTAATTGA